TATTGTTTAATTACAATTCCAGTGTTTTTCTTGCATGCATGTATTTCATTGCATGACAGTATTATTAAAACCAAAACATTAATTAGAAAAAAACTGGGGAAACCCCTTAAAAGTGGTGATTACATTAAAAATGTATATATTTCAATTAAATTAATAATCGTTCACCACAAGTCCTCCGATAATATTATTATTATTATTATTATTGATAGTGGATTTGGTTTCCGATTCCCAACACTAGTTGCAGTACAGAAATTTTTCAGGTTAGAAGTGATATATATATATATATATATATATATGTTTAAAAATGATACTTCTAAAAATATATATTTAGTATTTTTGGTCATGGATTTGTAAACTGAATATGGAACAGGAAAGATCTTTGGACCTTATGACCAGGAATCTCCCCTCAGCAGCCATTTCATTGTTTTCAGTTGACCATTGAGTTACATCTAGATACAGTCAATACCGGAATATATAGATGAGACATGGTAGATTGTCACATGAACTTGACCTTGTCCAGTGCCCTGTACAGTTTAGTTAAGCCAATATTGTGTCAAAGAAAGCTTAAATCAAGGACTTTTCATATTATTGAAATTAGATAATTTTTCAGAAAATGCATTTAAAAAGCAAACTGCTTGAGACGACAGCTGTCAGTTTCTGCTCATTCTTAGCACCCCTGACTTAAATGGTATTTTACTTAATATAGGGCCTAACTTAAGATAGCTTGTCATCAAAGATTATTTTTGTGATCTTTACTCTGAATAACCATGAACATTTTCCCCAACCCTAATGGCTTTTAGAACTTTTTTTGGATATGCATTGTCCAACAGCATTTTGTTATTCCTTACTCTGGAACGTGAGATAGTCTAACGGCTAATGCGTTCACCAAGGTTTGATTTGCCCAGGTTTGATTCCCTACATGGGTACAATGTGTGAAGCCCATTTCTGGTGTCCCCGCCATGATATTGTGTGGAGCGCAATAGTGCAGTGGTAAGGCATCTGCCTATCACTCTGAAGGCCTGGGTTCGATCCCCGGTGGAGGCACCTAGGTTCGGCCCCTGAGGTGCCCGCACATTTCCTTGTATCCTTCATCAAGATATTTAGATCCACATTATCATCAATTCACTCAGCTGTAAAATGGGTACCGTGAGGATGTGCTGGCAATGTGAGTGTTAAGTTCATTGCGCCTAACAGGCAGCATGGCTGTATGATCCCCAGGGAGTTGAAAAAGTATTCTATGACCAGGGATAGTAATGTACGTAGCGCCATGAGCAGGCAATGTGCCTGGATATGAGTGCCATACATGTATAAGCGGACTATTACTATTACTATTATTGCTTGAATATTTCTAAAAGCAGCCTAAAACTTGACTCAGGCAGTCAGTACTCTGGAACCAGACAGTTATCTAGCAGACTACTGAACTATGTGAAACTGGTGCGATAACACCTGTCAGTACTACACACATGTCGGGGTGAAAGTTATCACAAGTGAGTTGTCACAAGTGAGTTATCACTACAGGATGTTGGTCTGTGGGGCATTGTATCGTGATGACCCACTCATGTCTTTATCACGGACACTATGTTGAATGGTCACTCACAGACAGGCTGAGTCTTTTATCATAACACCTTTATTACATGTGAGGTGAGGTGAAATTGGGTTTAACGTCGTGCTGGAGGATATTTCGCTCATATGGCGACGTGCATGCGTGTGTATGTGTATGTGTGTGTGCGCCTGCTTGTACTAGCCCAGACTGAGATACCATGCCGCAGTGAAGCATGAATACCCCACTCAGACACATTATACTGACTCCCAGCCGACCAGTCCCTGTTGTACCCATTAATGCCGAGCGCCAGGCAGGGACCAACAAGTGCCATATTTTAACGTCTTTTGGTATGACGCGGTCGGGGATCAAGCACACGACTTTCCGCTCTCCGTCGGACGCTCTAACCACTACACCACGGAGGCGGTCTTAGTACATGTGAACTACAATTATGTTCCAGCGCTCAAAATTATATCTGAGCTATTGAGTATTAATGTTGATCACTGGATGGTCTCGTCCAGACTTGTATGTTTACAGACTGCTGCCGTATAGCTGTTGAGTTCAGTGTTAAACAACAAACAAATAAAAGAGTATTTACTTCCAAGTAATACATCTCATTGGCTAGGAGTTTTCTGTGGGTGCTCAGTGTAGTTTTATCTCATTGTGTGGCCAGTGGAGTAGCCAAGTGGTTAAAGCATTCGTTTGTCAGGCCAAAATTTCGGGTTCGATTCCTCACAGGGGTACAAAGTGTGAAGCCCATTTCTTGTGTCCCCTGCTGTGATATAGCTGGTATATTGCTAAAAGCGGCCTAAAGCACTCGTCACGTACTCACTCACTATTTCCTTGTGCATTATAAACAGAATAATTTGGTTTTCTGATGCAGGTGAAAATACCATCTTTACTGCATTACAGGTGTGATGGAGAAGCTTAGAGGTTTAGGCATTTGTCATCATGCCAAAGCCCTGATTTCTGGAATATTGTTAAAAGTGGCGTAAAACCCAACTCATTTACTACATCATATTTTGTGTTCTATGCGACATAGATTATTGTGGTCATTTAGCACTTAAAAGCACTGTTGTGTTTTATGTGAGAATTGTCATGGGCTGTGAGACAACAAACATGGTCAAAATGTCAACATACAGTGAAATATCAGGCTACTTGTTGTCAGACATGATTAATTCCTGTTTGGGATTTCAATGTTGCTTTTTGTTTTGTTTTTTGGGTTGCTTCTTTGAGTGGCATTTTTAGAAGTTTGGAAGTACAATATTGAATAAACTATATGGATAGCAACTTCTTTATTTCATGAGTGTGATTTTTTATACAAATTCTTGTACCGTTGTCAAGCAGAAATGTTCCTGTATTGAAACATCGCACTTACGAAATATAAATATATAGAGAATACTACATGAGGTCCCATTACATACGAATTATACCAAACGGGTGTCCTTCCTATGGTATCTGACCGAGCGAAAACGAGGTCAGATAACATAGGAATGTCACAAGTTTCGTATAATTCGTATATGTAATGAGACTTACATGCATTAAATTGACAAAATAGTTATTTTTGGTTATTTTTTGGGTTTCAAACTGAAACCGGTTTCATAAAGAGGTTGTGAAGGAGATTTGTACTGTAGTACAATATTTGCATGACGTCACACTGTAATGACGTCACTGCCTTGGTAACCGATGTCACGATGCATGTCAGTTGTCATCGCCTCGTACAGCCTCCTACAGTAAACTACTCCGTAGCACCCCGTTTGTTGGTTTCCAGTTGCTTCATTCGGCTAACATCACTGGTGGAAACATTGTGTTTATGTTTTTCAACGGATATAATGTCTCAGTTCGACTCACAATTAAACAGCGACACGGCGATGTTCGCAATGTTTACATTGCCACAATGCATTTAAGTTGTAGAATGAATGAATTCACGTGTTTGTTATGAATGAAAAAATAGTTACGTCAGAATGTAACCTAATTGAGAGGTCATCGGTTATCCTATCAAATCATTAGAATCTCAGGTCAAGTCGTTACGACTCAGGTCAACGTGATACGACACACGTGTGATGTACGAGATTAGTATGCAACTACCCATACGTTGACCTCGTGGGTAATAAATAGAGAATCTCACCCGAGTGTCTTTTGATATCAAATGTATCACCACGAGTTGATAAAGTAACAAATATCTGAGGCTTGCCGAGGATATTTTTACTTTTATCAATGAGTGTTGATTTATTTGATATCGGAAGACACGTGGTGAATCTATTATCATAAAAATCATTGAGAATTAGTTTTCATATCATAAAAATCACATCTCTCATAAAAATCACATTCTGGTAACACTGTGGACGTCATCAAGTTGATGACGTCATAGCATTGTCAGGGCATTGTACAAAATCTACTGTCAAAACGATATCTCCTAGGAGATATCGTCTGATCTCACACAAGCAATATCTCCTGTGGAACACAGTTTTGGATGATAAATGTTGTTATCCGTAAAGTTTGTTCACTATTTTGGTTTCTGTTTCTTTTTAAATGACTAAATACTAACAGGAATATCTGTAAAGTAGGTAATAAAACTGGAGTGGTTCTATTTGGTTACTAAAAATGGGATTAATGAAAACTTCCAAGACAGACCATAAGAGGTGGGTGTTAGTGTGAGAGTGTTGTAATGCATACGGTATATACACTTATGTGTTCCTTTGTCCTAGTGTTCCAGTTGTCACTGGGGGTGTAGGGTGGTGGGGGTGGGGGATGGGTGGTTTAGCCTAGTGGTTAAAGCGTTGGCTCGTCACGCCGAAGACCTGGGTTCGAATCCCAACATGGGTACAATGTGTGAAGCCCATTTCTGGTGTCCCCCGCCGTGATGTTGCTGGAATATTGCTAAAAGCGGCGTAAAACCAAACTCAGTCAGTCAGTCTGTCAGTCAGTCAGTCAGTCACTGGGGGCGGTGGGGTAGCCTAGTGGTTAAAGTAGTTGCTCATTGCGTCGAAGACCCGGGTTCGATTCCCAACATGGGTACAATGTGTGAAGCCCATTTCTGGTGCCCCACACCGTGATATAAATAATAATAATGATAATGTATTTATGAAGCGCCTAATATCCACCATAGAGATGTTTAGTGGTGCTGTGACAATATTGGGGAAGGAAATAGTTCATATATCTTTACAGAAAGGCAGCAGTGAATAGATGGGTCTTTAGCAGAGATTTCTGATTGCTGGAATATTGCTAAAAGTGGGACAAAACCATACTCCCTCACCCTGTTACTCTTGTTTATCAGATTTGTTGAAAGTTAGTTCTCCAATATTTATTGATAATTGATCAGTATTTAGTTATTGATCTTTGTGATCTATATTAATAGCCAGGCTTATTGATTCTGACTGTAAAGTTGTGAATGTATGACTGTGTGAATGTTGTGTTCTAAGACTCTTTCTCTCGAGTCATGTTCTTTTATGTTTTCCAGAAACCTGATTCGCAATGGCATGTGGCCAACCTCAACATGGAACCTCTTTGCCTTAGTCACACCTCTCACTGCCCTCCGATTGGCTGACTGGAATGCTGCTCGTCCAATCACAAACCAGCTACAGAAAGTGGAAGATCTTATTTGTTTACCAACAGGTACGTCTTTTGTAGCCTCAGAGATTGAGCTCTATGTGTGTATTACTGGAAATCATGATATGTCTCATACAAGTGCTGTAATAAAGTTTGTTTCAGAAAAATAGAACTGGAATATAGTAATAAGTAATAGTAATAGTCCACTTATATGGCGCTCATATCCAGGCACGTTGCCTGCTCATGGCACTATGTACATTACAATCCCCGGTCATAGGACACTGTCTTACTTTCCGATACTTTCTCGGGGCGGCAGGGTAGCCTAATGGTTAAAGCGTTGGCTCGTCACGCCGAAGACCTGGGTTCGAATCCCCACATGGGTACAATGTGTGAAGCCCATTTCTGGTGTCCCCTGCCGTGATGTTGCTGGAATATTGCTAAAAGCGGCGTAAAACCAAACTCAGTCAGTCAGTCAGTCCGATACTTTCTCAACTCCCTGGGGACCTTACAGCCATGCTGCCTGTTAGGCGCGATGAACTAAACACTCACATTACCAGCACATCCTCACGGGTACCCATGTTACAGCTGGGTGAAGTGAGACAATGTGGATCTAAGTATCTTGTCCAAGGATACTATGCCCATATTAGGATAAATGTGCCCATCTCGGGACCTGAACCTGGATGCCTCCACCGGGGATCCAGCCTGGGCCTTCAGCATGATAGGCAGATGCCTTACCACAGCACTATTGCGACCCAAAAGATACATATACATATATTGATGTGACAGTGGAAAATAAAAGCTGGTGTCACTAGTGTTGGGAATCGGAAACCAAGTCCACTATCGATTATTGGAGGATTGTGGTGAACGATTATCGATTATAATCGAAATATATACATTTTTAATGAAATCACCAATTTGAAGGGTTTTTCCCAGTTTTTTTTCTAATAAATGTTCCTTATAACTAATACTGTCATGCAATGAAATGCCTGCATGCAAGAAAGACACTGGAATTGTAATTAAACAATAAAAGTAGTTACAATTTTACAATGCGCATAGCTTTACGCTGTTGAGCGCATGTTTGTTCGTGAATATTCGTCAGATTTAATCGCTAGTTTACTTCATTCAAGTGTGTTATACTAAAACAACATAATTCCAATTAATCGAAAATATGTTTTCTTACAATCGATAATCATTTTTAATCCTTCTTTCGATTGAATTTCGATTATTTTCGATCATCGGAACACCACTAGGTGTCACTAGTATTGTTTGTTTGTTGGATTTAATTTAATGTCACTTTCGGCAATATTTCATCTAGGCTATGTGAAGTCTGGGAAAAATGGCATCTGTCTTATTTGCATCAGTACCTTTGTGATACTCTCCAAACCTCATAATGTTGCTGTTTGGAGATTTTCCATTTGTTGACACCATAAAATAAGAAAGTGACATATTTGGGGAGTTATTTTCCCATATGTGAAGTAAATGTCTTGGGAATGCGACTTACATGAGATACAGACATCAGCTCTTCTACAGCGTGATATTATGGCTGGCTTCAGTTTCAACAATCCTAAGTTTGTGTTAGATTAGTGAGAGTAAGTCTTTGTGAAGTGGACCCTAGTGAAGAGACCTGGAAACAAAGGTGGCCTTTACAGAAGTGCCATGCTATGTATGATGCCACATGATAGTACCGGTAGTGTTAGGAATTGGTTAAAATTTCATAATTGATGATTGGTTCATTACAACCAATCAATCATCAATAATAATTGGTTAACGTCATTTATCAAATTTTCCTGTTATGGTAAAAAAAGATAAAGAAGAAAATATGTAGTTCTTTTGTTTTTATTGCAAATTGCACGAAATACCTTTGCAAATTTCACATCTTTAAAGGATGACTAGTATGTTGGGAACATAAATTTCCTGGAGTCTTTAAGATAAATTCAATCATGACTTGGAATGAGCTCGCAGTGCTTATGAAATGTAAATTTAATGACAGACAAAACCAACCTTGTAAAAAATATTGTTAATGCAAACAAGTGTTCCAAAATTGTTCGTGTTTGACTATGAGAAAAGCAATTGCTTGGTCGTTTAGTCACTGCGACCAATCATCAATTATTTCAATTAATTGGACCACCACTACATGATACTGTCTGCTCATTCCCACTTTATTCCCACTTTATTAAGATAAATGAAGTGCTGTTGTGAACTTTTGGCCACGTTTTCTTTTCAGGATGTCCAGTTGTCATCAAGTCTGTGATTGGTTCAGTTGTTGTCGGTTTAGGATTTTTCATCGTTGTACTGTATGTTCGTCGCTTCACCCTCCGAGCTTTGCTGTCATATCGTGGATGGATGTGTAAGTAGCTGCCGTATCTCGCCCTGGAGTCCTCGTATCTAGCCCTGTAGTAACCGTATCTAGACCTGTAGTCCTCGTATCTAGCCCTGTAGTACCCGTACCTAGCCCTGTAGTCCTCATATCTCGCCCTGTAGTACCCGTATCTAGCCCTGTAGTCCCCATATCTCGCCCTGTAGTTGCCGTATCTAGCCCTGTAGTCTCTATATCTCGCCCTGTAGTCCTCGTATCTCACCCTGTAGTTGCCGTATCTAGCCCTGTAGTCCCTGTATCTCGCCTTGTAGTTGCCGTATCTAGCCCTGTAGTCCCTATATCTAGCCCTGTAGTCCCTGTATCTTGCCCTGTAGTCCCCGTATCTAGCCCTCTAGTTGCCAAATCTAGCCCTGTAGTCCCTGTATCTTGCCCTGTAGTCCCCGTATCTTGCCCTGTAGTCCCCGTATCTAGCCCTCTAGTTGCCATATCTTGCCCTGTAGTCCCCGTATCTAGCCCTTTAGTTGCCATATCTAGCTCTGTAGTCCCCATATCTAGCCCTCTAGTTGCCATATCTAGCCCTGTAGTCCCTGTATCTCACCCTCTAGTTGCCATATCTTGCCATGTAGTCCCTGTATCTATCCCTGTAGTCCCCGTATCTAGCCCTGTAGTACCTGTATCTCATCCTGTAGTACCTGTATCTACCCCTGTAGTACCCCTATCTCTCCCTGTAGTACCTGTATCTAGCGCTGTAGTACCCGTATCTATCCCTGTAGTACCAGTATCTAGTGCTGTAGTACCCGTATCTATCTCTGTAGTACCTGTATCTCGCCCTGTAGTACCCGTATCTAGCCCTGTAGTTCCCGTATCTAGCCCTGTAGTCCACTGACAGTTCAAGGTTTTGTTGCCTGGACCCAACTGTCGAATGGACAGTAACAACCACCTTTATCCACCATGGATGTAGGGACCGTGACTGGGTAATGGTGCTCATGGAGCTGTTCCCATTGTCAGGGGGAAGTCTGTGGTAATATACCTTCTACTCTGGATAATTACTCTCTTAGACTAATGCTAAGTCTCTGAATATATATAATTTTGAAATTTAGGGTATTGGTATTTAGTATTAGTAACATACGTTATGTTTGGGATTACACTTTCTCAGTAAAGTACAGATTCTAGCACTTTTGTAGGGTTGAGTCCCATCCGGGATTCAAACCCACACCCTCAGAGTCAGGCACCTAATCGCCAGCACACAAAGTCAGCCGCCTAACCCACTCAGCCACCTCAGCTTCCACATGTGCAGAAGGGAAAATAAGGTGGTTCAGGGACTGTGAGGTAGACTGTTCCTCTCCCTGTCCAACTCTTTATTGCACCGAAGTGCCAAGTTCACAAAGGAATCCTATTCACATTTAGTGTATCATATCGCTCCTTTTTTATACTACTACTCTGGACCTGGTCATCACAGTAGGGCGGTGGGGTAGCCTAGTGGTTAAAGCGTTGGCTCGTCACGCCGAAGACCCGGGTTCGATTCCCCACATGGGCACAATGTGTGAAGCCCATTTCTGGTGTCCCCCGCCGTGATATTGCTGGAATATTGCTAAAAGCGGCGTAAAACTAAACTCAGTCAGTCAGTCAGTCATCACAGTAGCTTGATTTCAGAAGTGATGTCACCATTTCACTATGGCCAGTAGCTCTCTCAACATACGCATATTTGGCCAATGTGAGTAATTTTATTTGATGACTATGTTTAGAGTTGTGCAGTGTAAACTGGAATCCTGTACTATAATCCCATTGTATAATCCTGTACTATAATCCCATTGTATAATCCTGAACTATAATCCTATGTATTGCAGATGAACCTCCAAAGTCCCAGTCAGTGTTGACGCTGATCTGGGGCGCAATGGTGCGTATTGTGAGTGGGCGGCACCCTCTGCTATACAGCTGCCAGCGCAGCCTGCCCAGAATGTCGGTGCCAACATTGAAACACACCCTGGAACACCTGCTGGAATCCCTCAAACCCTTGTATGGGGAGGATTCCGAGGAGTTCCAGGCGCTCAAATCTGAAGCCAAAGTATTTGAACAGACACAGGGGCCAAAGTTACAAAGGATGCTTGTTTTGAAATCCTGGTGGTCTCAGAACTGGGTCAGTGACTGGTGGTACGTATAAACTTTTTTGCAACCTGATTCAGGTCTCTTTAAAATGGCCCTGGAGAAATTTGGTCCGAAACGAAAGCATGTTCCCTTGCCTCATCATTTGTCTTCAGTTGCATCAAATATACAGATTAGTAGGCCTGTAGTTTTATAGATCATGATAAAACATATCTTTTTGTCACATTTTTACTCTGAAAATGAGCATCTAGAACGAGATGGAAATTTGATCGTGTGAGATCAAAAGCCTCCGAGACTTGATTGTTTTACAGGCCATCTTTGGATGAGGCATCAGGTAACGAACACTCCTTTTTCTATGCAGATTGTCGGAGTGGCGGATGCTACAGGGAGACCTGGGTTTGATTCCCCCCCAACTCTCTCTCTCTCTGTTTTTCCTTATGAAATCTCTTGTTATCAGTGTTCACAAATGGTGTTTCAAAGTAACAGGACATTGGGTCCTGTAAGTTTCAGATGTATGTCTGACCTATTGAAAATTCACAGGACACACAGAATAAAATTAAACAGATTTCAGCTTTAACATTTCTTATAATTGGCATTGAAATTATTAACAGACATAAGATTTATAAACAGCAAACAAGTATCACATGTCACATATACCAACTTCAGTCAAAGTCATTGTGAAATATACAGTCAGACACTGGGGCCGGCGGGTTGTAGACTTCTATGGAACCGTTGGTGAATCTGCCGGATTTGTCAGAGGGTCAGACGCTATTCGTGAACACTGTGTTATGTGAACATTTTTACAAGGCGAATTATAGTGGCTATGTGGGATTATGCTGAAAACAAGACATTGATGAGACCCAATTTTGAAGTGTTCTCCTAACGCACTGATGTATTGTGTATCAGGGAGAAGTACGTGTACTTGATGAGTCGCAGTCCCCTGCCCATCAACTCCAACTACTATGTGATGGACCAGAACTCCTGGGTTCCCACACACAGACCTACATCCAGGTGAGTGTCAAGAGTTACGACTTGAAGGAAATATATTTTCTTGCTTGTTTTCAGATCTGTCAACATGAAAAGTAGCCAAATAGAAATACAGGGATGGCAATTTTCCACTGATCCGCTGATTTCTGCTGATTTTATTTCAAGTTGATAAATTCTGTGAATCGTCTCAAACTGTTAAGAAACCCTGAACCTCCCATTCAATGACACAATATTAAGTCTGCAGCTGAAAACAGATTTTGCTGTTGCCATCCCTGGAAATAAAGTTAAAATGATTTTCCTGATGTTGTTTTTATCCCGCTGAGTCAAGTGGTATACAAAATACACACAAATAAATTTACATAAAAAAATGTGTTTGTTGAAAAGAGGATTCATATTAAAATATGAAACAGAAAATGAAATATTAACCTTAGAGTTTGAAGAGATAACGATTACAGACTTAAATGACATATACAGTCATTTAAGCATGAAAATGGTGGCATTCATATGCCCCACCATTGGAGAAGGTATGATCAGGAAGGTTAGACATTTACTGGAAGACAAGTTTTATTTCCATCTCCACATTGTGAGAACAACAGATAATTCCATAAATCAACTGGAACCAAGTCAACCTCCTGTGGTCACTGGTTGCAATCCCAGGTTATTTCTGAGTGTGATTCTTTGTCAGTACCATCCCTTCACTTGCCTCCCACATCTACAGTCCGTTTGGCTCAAAAGCGGACCGATGAATTGCAATCTAACTCGAAAATTAATAAACATAACATAACAGAAAGGGACAGCCAGGTGTTCGAGAAGCACGTTCGTAGACAAAGTTATTTATTCATTAACCTGTGCTGTGCCATCTCCATTCGTTCTCGAGCACCTGGCTGTCCCTTTCTCTGCACTCCTCCCTCGTAACAAATAGTGAACTGTGTCAATATTTTAATGATAGGTTGTTAAACAACTTTATTATATTTAGGACAAAAATTCTGCAAAACCTCACAGAGTTGGTATGATGTTTTTGATTATGATCAGCGTTTCAGTAAGTATTTTATGTTTATTAGTTTTCGAGTTAGATTGCAATTCATCGGTCTGCTTTTGAGCCAAACGGACTATAGTTGATGCTGACACATTGTGATTAGACTAGTGTACTACTGAAAGCTTGATTCCCCACCTGCATGGTCCTGTGTTGTAGGGCAGCCACCTGTATATACCAGATGATGGTAGTCAAGCAGAAACTGGACAGGGAGCAGTTTGATCCCCTGGTCATCAGGAACACCATCCCTGTGTGCATGGCCCAGTACGAGAGGGTCTTCTCCACATCAAGGTAACAGTTTATAGTTCAGTCATCCAAGTTGTTTAATTCTGGGTTAACAGCAGTCAGTGAACATGGGTTTTCGCCGCTTTTAGCAATATTCCAGCACTATCACAGTGGTGGACACCAGAAATGGGCTTCACACATTGTATCCTCATTAGGAATCAAACCCGGGCCTTTGGTTTGACGAGGGGACCCTTTAACCACTAGGCTACCTCACCACCCTGGGTTAACAGCAAAGAAATATATGTAATAGTCTTATTGTTATATTTGTTCAAATGTTTCGGACACATTTTTGTCAGCTGTTGCCTTTCATTAATAATTGTAAAACAATGTGAGAACAAAGTTATCAGTTAAGGGGAAATAACAATGTGCTGGAGTAGCCTAACCAAATTGTCTCCCTTGATTAAATGAAATTTGACCCTTGAAGTTGGAATTTTAATATGTTGTGTCTAATTTTTACAATACTTTTAATTCTTGGTACAAAGGTACACACATTTTCACAACCCCTATAAGCATTAAACCAAATCCTCAATGCATAGATCAGAGCTTAGTCACTGGATTGTCTGGACTTATTATTTTACAGACTGCCATCATATAGCTGGAAACAATGTATAGAGAACAATGTTGAGTATATTCTAAGATGTCAAAGCTCCTCTGATATGCTAGATGTAACATTCTTGACAAGGCATGCGTTAATGATATTATACAATTATAGACTCTTGTAGAGGTCGATATCGGTTTTTATTGACCTGAGTAAAACAATATCGACCGAGCTTGTAGAGGTCAATAAAACACGAGTATCGACCTCTACAAGAGTCTATAATTGTTTTATTATATAATGAAAGAGAAGCGGGTTTTAACATAAACTTTTAATGCACATACTGTGCCATCTATCCGGAAGTGATCTGATTGGCTGAAAGCCGGGAAGCCCGTTCTGCTTGGGATTCCTTATCTATATTTTCATTATAATAATGTTAGTAACGCAAGTCAATATCGTAATTTATCAGAAAACTCAAGTCAATATCGTGTTTTGTAGTCAATCATGTGACGGTCTTTTGACCAATCGTGGTACAGGAAAAATGCTACCTATTATATAAGCTCAATTCTAGGTGTTTTGATTATGAAACTTGACACATGGTATTTTAATAAGTTCTTGACTCAAGGTGTTTTTCTTTGACACCAGGTATTCTTGTGGTATAGCTCTGGTTGCTTAAAGGAGGTTGTTGACAACATGTTTATGTTAGCATTTGACACCAGGTGTTTTATGGTGGAACTTCATGTTGTTACAGGATACCTGGAGAAGACATGGATATCATCCAGCATAAAGATCCTTCAGAGTCTAAGGTAAGAGACCAAACTTTATCTATAATAATTACAGCTAAACAATAATTTTTTAAGAATAAATGTCCTTGCTCATCCCATTGTAATGATAAGAAACACAAAAGTATGTGAAATAATAGATACCAGTAGCACATTTTTCATGTAAAATATGTAAGGTGTTTGTTCGAAATCCAAGATAGTTGTACCTGCCAGTATACTCATGTGTGAGGTGTTTCAGTGACAACCATCTTTGATTTTTACTGTGTACAATGAGTGAGTGAGTGAGTTTTAGTTTTACGCCGCTTAGCTATATTCTAGCAATATCACGGCAGGAGACACCAGAAATGGGCTTTACACATTGTGCCCATGTGGGGAATCGAACCCGGGCCTTCGGCGTGACAAGCGAATGCTTTAACCACTAGGCTGCCCCACTGCCCAGACTGTGTACAGGCTCCTCTCTGATTCCCAATTTGTTTTTCAGCATATAGTGGTGTTAAGGAAAGGAGTTTTCTACAAGGTGAATGTATTTAGTCCCAGGAACAGACCGGTGCCACCTCAGATCTTGGAGAAACAGTTCCAGTCCATTCTAGAAGATGCTGAAGTGCATCAAGGTACTAACGCCATTTGCTTCTTGTTGCGATTCCAAGTTGTAGATCCCAGAACCTGATTCTGAACCGAATATAGGGTAGCCTATGTGGAGATTCTATAGTGTAGATCTACAAAACCTGGTTCTAAACTCATTTAGCTCTTGTGGTCATTTCAGAGTGAAGATGTCAAAAATCTGATTCTGAAAAGGGTATTGGTTGGAAAAGACATTGTAGGGTATCTTCAGGCTATATTTTCATTTTGTGTTATCAAACCAATGCAACATATACTTTATGGAGATTTCTTGTAGAGCTATTTGTTCATAACAGTCATTCCCAGTGACAGTATGTTCAGGCTTGCATTTAGATGAGGCTGAGGCTGAGGCTGAGGCTGAGGCTGAGGCTGAGGCTGAGGCTGAGGCTGAGGCTGAGGCTGCTGCTGCTGCTGCTGATGATGATGATGCTGATGATGATGATGATTGCAGGGTTACTGAAATATATCCAACATTTCACACCTTATTTTTGACAGAAACAGTTCTGTCCGATCTTCTAACTGTAGTGAATTGTGTTGGTGTTTGAATTAATGCCATGTTGAGTAATGTTCTTCACTGAGATACCGACATGTGTAACGTTGTGTCCACAGACAGCCTGTGTATGGGCGAGGAGAGTCTTCCCGCCCTCACTACACTCGACAGGACGTCCTGGGCCAAAATCAGGAAGGAACACTTTTCCCAAGGAGTGAACAAAGAATCTCTTGACATTCTGGAAGGAGCCATTATATTTGTGAGTATTTACAGTCACTTGTGGCATGTGCTTGTCGTAAGAGGCGACTAAAGGGATAGTGGTCAGGCTCGCTGACTTGGTTGTTACTTGTCATCTCTTCCTAAGTCTGTAGATCGATGCTCATGCTGTTGATCACTGGATTGTTTGGTCCAGACAGGATTATTCACCGACCACCGCCATATAGCTGGAATGTTGCTGAGTGCGGCGTAAAACTAAACTCACTCACGCATGTGATCATATATTGCTGAGTATTGTGTCAACCAACATTGGCTCATTAACAGTAAGATTGAGATGTATGCTTTTGATTATGCCTTTACATACTGCCATTAATGATCCAAATGCTATCTCCCACAAATCACACCATCACTTGACATCTCGTCCAGTGTTGGTAAAGGGAGAGAACTCTGAATTCTATTACAGCAGAACCTTATTGGGTGCAAGTAAGCCTCCTACTGGATCTAGAAGTATAACACCACAGAAGAGCTTTGATGCTAGGTGTCAATAAGCTGTAGAATGATCATTAATAGAGAAAAGATTTATCTAGACCTCATCAGAGGCTAATGTAGATAGGAGGTTGAAGTTGGCATTTTTAGGTTGCACCAGTGGAGAATCTAAATGTTTAAAAGGAGAATTGCACTGCACTTATGAACTTCATATTGCTATTGATGAAGCTTTATTGAGCGGACATGTGTATAACTGATAACACCAATAGAGAGGAAATTCTTACACTTTACTGTTTACTTTCTCATTAATAAGACCGCCTCCGTGGTGTAGTGGTTAGAGCGTCCGCCCGGAGAGCGGAAGGTCGCGGGTTCGATCCCCGGCCGCGTCATACCAAAAGACGTTAAAATATGGTACTTGTTGGTCCCTGCCTGGCGCTCGGCATTAATGGGTACAACAAGGACTGGTCGGCTCGGAGTCAGTATAATGTGTCTGCGTGGGGTATTCATGCTTCACTGCGGCATGGTATCTCAGTGGGCTAGCACTATAAAACTAGCTTCAGTCTAGGCTAGTACAAGCAGCCGCACATACACATACACATGCATGCACATCATCATATGAGCAAAATATTCTCAAGCACAGCGTTAAACCCAATTTCACTTCACTTCACTTCTCATTAATACTACTACTACAAGTAATGAGGGTACTTATACTGCGCAATACTCTATACCACAATGGGGCATGCTCCGAGTGTGCACAAATTTTTAAAACTAACACATCAAAAGTCACATGAATCAGTATGGTAGAAGATAGTAGATTACTAAGCCGAACACACTTTCACATTTAATTTATGATGATGTGCACACCCAATTTTAGTTATTATTTTGAGCTTTGTATTATATTGAAACAGACACTGTGGAAATAATGTCTCATGGTGTAATAGCTTGTATAATGTGTAACTCTTATTGTGTGTGTTTCAGTTGAATTTTGACACTCACAGCTTCAAGGACTACTCACCTCGGGCCAAGTACCTGTTGCACGGAGATGGCAAGTCCATCTGGTTCGACAAGTCCATGAATCTCATCTTCTTCAGCGATGGACGCTTTGGCATGAACAATGAACACACATTCGCTGATGCCCCGGTCGTTGCTCATGTGCAGGAATTCAATATGCTCAACGAGTATGTAGTGAATTGTCTTACAATTCTCATTTTGTCAAATACTGAAGTGTAAACGTAATGACTTAAGGGTCAAGTTCACTCTCAAGGTCATGCACTCAAATATTTTATTATAATCGAGATAGCTTAAGAGGTATTCTCTGTATTAAGATTAAGGTTGATTTGATCGAACTTAGAGGGGGTTGCTGACCTTTGTGGAAGGTCAAGGTCATAGAATGGTAGTTCTGATTCTTGTGTCAAAATGTAAGGTGTCATGTGAGACTTCATTAGTGCAAATGTACCTGTGTAAACTGTTCAGCCAGCTGAGAAATAGTACTTGACATGTGAGGTGGACCTTTTGCAGTATAGGTTGTTCAGGGAGACTCAGCAATCAGCAATATTTCTTTTTTCCAAAACAACTTCTGGTTTGCCAGGTTTCTGGATGTCTGGGGTCGGGATAAGCGCATTATAATATAAATAACTGGATTGACTGGTTGTGACTTGATTATATATATACAGACAGTTGTCATAAAGCGGAGATGTTTCAGCTAAATGTATGTGCATTGTATCTGTCAGAGTCATCGGCCTCCACAACACGGACGGCTATGCTAACCCAGTACCCTGTGAACAGACAGAGAATGTGAAGCCAGTGCGACTCATCTGGAACGTTGACACAAATCTGGGTGGGCGCATCAAGCACGCAATGGAGGCTCACCAACAGGTACTTCACGCTTCACTATGTCTAGACTAATATCTGACCGCCTCCGTGGTGTAGTGGTTAGAGCGTCCGCCCGAGAGCGGAAGGTCGCGGGTTCGATCCCCGGCCGCGTCATACCAAAAGGCGTTAAAATATGGTACTTGTTGGTCCCTGCCTGGCGCCCGGCATTAATGGGTACAACAAGGACTGGTCGGCTCGGAGTCAGTATAATGTGTCTGAGTGGGTTATTCCTGCTTCACTGCGGCATGGTATCTCAGTGGGCTAGCAATATAAAACCAGCTTAAGTCTGGGCTAGTACAAGCAGCTGCACATACACATACACTCGCATGCACGTCGTCATATGAGCGAAATATTCTCAAGCACGACGTTAAACCCAATTTCACCTCACCTCACATAGACTAATATCTGCTATGCAGAGTGAGTGAGTGAGTTAGTTTTATGCTGCTTTTAGCAGTATTCCAACACTATCTTGGCAGGTTACACCAGAAATGGGCTTCACACATTGTGGGTAACCGAACCCAGGTGTTTGGCATGATGAGCGAACACTTTAACCACTAGGCTACCCCACTGCCCATGCTATGCAGAGAATGCAGTTGATGTGATGCAGATTTTATCATATACAATACAGAAAGAGATGTGGAAGGGGAGCTGTCTTTGCCTACATAATGATGCTGTTGACACTAGATTTTGCTGATGTTCAGTGGAAATCATTTTTGACTTAGGGACCATTCCTAATTTATGGCTAGGGGGCGTGATGATGATTTTTATGGAGAAGCATGTACAATGTGAATGAACCCCCCTAAGATTTAGGTACCCCATGTCATGTACAAAATCAGTCACCCCCCTCCATTCTCATGATTTTTAAACATATTTTTAAAATGTTTTAATGTACAAATTGCTGCCCCCCCAGTACATGTGTGCAACATTGATGCCTCCCCAGAACAAAATGGTTGACCCACCTTAAGATCATCATCATCCCCCTAGCCATAAATAATGAACGGTCCCTTAGTTCTAGATTGTCATCACACATTCCAGGATGGATTCCTTGGTTGTATACTGAAATCCTCCAGTCAGCAAGGAATCACTAGCTGGAACACCACTGTGTTCATGTGTCATGTGTCAAGGGAGGGATGTGTTGAACGTGCATGCGGATCACCAGGACCAGCATCTGTACGCAGATGTTTTAGTTAGTGAGTGAGTTTAGTTTTACGCCGCACTCAGCAATATTCCAGCTACATGGCGGCGGTCTGTAAATAATCAAGTCTGGACCAGACCATCCAGTGATCAACAGCATGAGCATCGATCTGCGCAATTGGGAACCGATGACATGTGTCAACCAAGTCAGCGAGCCTGACCACCCGATCCCGTTTGTCGCCTTTTACGACAAGCATAGTCGGCTTTTATGACAAGAATGGGTTGCTGAAGACCTATTCTACCCCGGATCTTAACGGGGTCAGATGTTTAATTAACGGAATAGGGGTTAGAGCCGTCATGATGCATGGAACTATCGATGGACTGTAATTGTTGATTCTCTGATAGCAACGGATCAATGATAGAAATGAAAATCTATCGATGCATCGATAGTATGTGTGACTATCGATAGTTTAGTAATTGACTTCCGTTGATAAATGAGCAGCAAAATACAGGCAGTACTAGATTCATTTACTTTGATTTAGAGTTATCTGCCCCTTCTTGTCGGTGAGGTGAGGTGAAATTGGGTTTAAGGTCGTGCTTGAGAATATTTCGCTCATATGACGACGTGCATGCGTGTGTATGTGTATGTGCGGCTGCTTGTACTAGCCCAGACTGAAGCTGGTTTTATAGTGCTAGCCCATTGAGATACCATGTCGCAGTGAAGCATGAATACCCCACTCAGACACATTATACTGACTCTGAGCCGACCAGTCCTTGTTGTCCCCATTAATGCCGAGCGCCAGGCAGGGACCAACAAGTACCATATTTTGACCCGTGAAGATCCGGGGTAGAATAGGTCTTCAGCAACCCATGTGCTTGCCATAAAAAGGCGACTATCTTGTCGTAAGAGGCGACTAACGGGATCGGGTGGTCAGTTTCCCTGACTTGGTTGACACATGTCATCGGTTCCCAATTGCGCAGATCGATGCTCATGCTGTTGATCACTGGATTGTCTGGTCCAGACTCGATTATTTACAGACCGCCGCCATATAGCTGGAATATTGCTGAGTGCGGCGTAAAACTAAACTCACTCACTCACCATATTTTAACGTCTTTTTGGTATGACGCGGCCAGGGATCCAACCTGCGACTTTCCGCTCTCCGGGCGGATGCTCTAACCACAACACCACGGAGGCGGTCTCTTGACGGTTATTAAAAGAGACAGAAACTGCTACAACTTGTTTTTATTTCATGTAAACAATACATTTATTTGGGAAATGACTTCAAATGAGACGATTCAAGGAGAAAAATTACTATTGCAATAGTTGGTCACAATAGACTATCGCTATCGCAATAGTATGCTGCAATAGAATTTCGCTATCGCAATAGTTGTGTCCACCCTCAATAGTCACCCCTAACAGAGGTGTTGAAGTCCATCAGTCAGCCACATGGTCACTTGTACACACTGTAGGTAACATGTCCTTGTTGCAGAACTGTGAAAACCTGGAGATTAGGGTGTCCGACTTCCAGCACTTCGGCAAGAGTTTCATCAAGAAGTGTAAGGTAGGTAATGGACAGACTAACACAACTTTATGTAGAATTATAAACCTCCAGTGGCGTCACTCTATTGTCTCGCCAGGTTATCCTTTCACTGAGTAAACCTCTACAGGCAGTTTTGTGGGCATTTCTAAAAAATCCCAGGGATTTTCTACAGAATTGCCTGCATCCTGGGTGTTTTCTACAGAATTGCCGTCAGCCCCGGGATTTTCTGAGGAATAGCCCTTGACTTTGAAATATTTTACTTGTTTTGAAGATTGCTCTAACCTTTTTACGATCGAAAAATATCACAATATTAAGAACTTCCAATATATTGTGCCGATGCATGGTATATCTTCAGTTGGTTCATAAATTGGATCAAAACCTCCTCCACGGTTTTGATCCTTCACATGTAACATAGTCCATAGGTATACTTTGACAGAGCTTGATGAATGCAGAAAATGATTGCCCCTGCTCAAATAACTGCAATGACATATTTTTATCCTGATATATTGGAGTATACTGTCTGGTTATCTACACACAGACATGTAACAAGTACATTTTCTAAGCCACTGCTAAGGTTAAAACCGTTGTGCAAGCCCCTCAAAAATAGCAACTGATAACTGTATGGAGACAAATATAACGATTGCTCACTAATAACTCAGTTTTACATATCTCATTTAAAAAAACATTGCATGGGATGAGTGGTTATAATTTGGAAGATGAACAAGTTTGTGTTGTCTGCAGGTGAGCCCTGATGCCTTTCTCCAGATGGCACTCCAAGTGACATACTTCAAGAACGCTGGCAAGTTTGCTCTCACATACGAGGCATCCATGACAAGACTCTACCTGGCCGGCCGAACTGAAACTGTGCGATCTCTCACCACGTATTCTGTGGACTTTGTCAAGTAGGTGGTTGGGTTGTATATGGACCTACCTTTGTTAAATATGCTTGAGTTTAGGGTGATTGGATTCTTAAGAAGAAAAAGAATGAAATGGTTTTCTTGGTTAATTTATCTCATTCATTTGACTGTGTTGACAAAATTAATTTAATTGTTCCAAATTATGCATTAATCTTTGCAAGAAAATTAAGAACACCATACATTGCTTGTTTGATCGGCATTCTATAAGCTTGGGAGGCAGTAGTGAGGCATACAACTTTATGGATGACAACTTCTTGTTTATTGCATAGAGCCATGTTTCAGTGTTGCTTTTCATTAATAATTGTAAAGAGCAATGTAGGGAACAAAGCACATCAGTTAAAGGGGAAATAATAACAATGTGCTGGAGTAGCCTAACCAATTTGTCTCCTTGATTAAGAAGAAATGGGCTCTTGAAGTTGGAATTTTAATATGTGTTTGTGTCTGAATTTTACAATACTCTTTGTAATTCTTGGTACAAGGTACACCGCGTTTTCACAATCCCTATAAGCATTAAACCAAATCCCTCAAATGCATAGATCAGAGCTTAGTCACTAAATTGTCTGGATGAACTGAGACTGCCATGCATATACTGTAAATCCATGAAATTAATGGATCCTGGGAGATTTAATGCGAGTCACGAGGGGTCCTAGTTTTAAAATGCGTCCGCGGAATTAATCACGAGCTCAGGAATCTGTGTTGATATTGATGAAATGTGACACCCTGAATCTTTGGTGTTGTTCTTTTTCTTTTCACACTTTGTTATTTTACCCAAAAACCTCGAATTGAGCTTATTAAGCAAATGAATGGAAATGAGCTGGCGATGAGTTTTGGGATTACGCTGCCATGTTTGATCCGCGAAGCTTGCTTGCTACTTACTTGTCTTATGACAACATGTATAAAAGCTGTATCCGGACTTGAAAGACACAAAGGTATCTACCAAGCGTACAACCAAACAAGTGGCTGAGAGATATCCGGCTCTTGGCTGATGTGCTTGAGTGACTTTTAAACAATGATCAGTGGTGTAACCAGTGATAATTACATGTGGCTTGGAGACACCCGTAATAAGGGGAAATTGTGACCTGTATTGGAGTGTAATGTATGAGTGTCAGCTTAGTTTCACGTTTTTCTGTCTTTTATTAAGTAGACATGGTCTTCGACTCGAAATGTGTCATTATAATAATGCGAGAAGAGTACAGACACATTTTCGTGATTAATAAAATGCTTTCGCATTAATTTCATGATTACATAGGTAGCTGGAAACATTGTATAGAGAACAATGTTTGAAGTATATTCTTAGGTGTCAAAGCTCCTCCTGATATGCTAAGATGTAACACATCTCTTGATAGAATATGCGTTAATGATATGCTCAATCTCTAGGTGTTTTAATTATGAAACTTGACACATGGTAGTATTTTAATAGAGTTCTTGACTCAAGGTGTTTTCTTTGACACTCCAGGTATTACCTTGTGGTATAGCTCTGGTTGCTTAAAAGAGGTTATTGGACAACATGTTTGTAAGTTAGCATTTGACACCAGGTGTTTTATGGTGGAACTTCATGTGTTGTTACAGGATACCTAAGGAGACATGGATATCATCCAGCATAAAGATCCTTCAGAGTCTAAGGTAAGAGACCAAACTTTATCTATAATAATTACAGCTAAAAAATGAATGTGATTTTTTTAAGAATAAATGTCCTTGCTCATCCCTTTGTAATAATGAGAAACACAAAAGTATGTCAAATAATAGATACCAGTAGCACATTTTTCATGTAAAATATGTAAGCAGTTAGTTAGAAAATCCAAGATAGTTGTACCTGCCAGTATACTCATGTGTGAGGTGTTTCAGTGACAACCATCTTTGATTTTTACTGTGTACCAGGGGTGGAAATAACTTTAAAATTGCTAGTAATCTCGCATGCAGTAAAATCTCACTTGCCCTGATAATTCTTCCACTATACCGATTCAAGTTTTTCTTGTTGATTTTAAATTAAACAACATAATTAATATTGGAAAGTCAACTGGACACTGGTACAGTGTGATACACAAATTTGCTTGCCCGACAGAAAAAAACACTAGACTCGGGCGTCGGGCAATGGGTTATTTCCACCCCTGTGTACAATGAGTGAGTGTGTGAGTTTTAGTTTTACGCCGCCTAGCAATATTCTAGCAATATCATGGTGGGGGACATCAGAAATGGGCTTCACACATTGTACCCATGTGGGGAATCGAACCCAGGCCTCTCGGCGTGCCAAGCTAAACGCTTTAACCACTAGGCTGCCCCACTGCCCTGACTGTGTACAGACTCCTCTCTGATTCCCAATTTGTTTTTCAGCATATAGTGGTGTTAAGGAAAGGAGTTTTCTACAAGGTGAATGTATTTAGTCCCAGGAACAGACCGGTGCCACCTCAGATCTTGGAGAAACAGTTCCAGTCCATTCTAGAAGATGCTGAAGTGCATCAAGGTACTAGCCTTTGCTTGTTAGTTAGCGATTCCAAGTTGTAGATCCCAGAACCTGATTCTGAAACTGAATATAGGGTAGCCTATGTCGAGATTCTATAGTGTGTAGATCTACAAAACCTGGTTCTAAACTCAATGTCACAGGGACCATTTAGTTCTCTTGTGGTCATTTCAGAGTGAAGATGTCAAAAAAGGAAAATCTGATTCTGAAAAAAGGTATTGGTTGGAAAGACATTGTAGGGTATCTTCAGGCTATATTTTCATTTTGTGTTATCATACTCTTTATGGAGATTTCTTTTGTAGAGCTATTTGTTCATAACAGTCATTCCCAGTGACAGTATATGTTCAGGCTTGCATTTAGGGATGAAGCTGAGGCTGAGGCTGAGGGCTGCTGCTGCTGCTGCTGCTGATGGTGATGATGATGATGATGATGATGATGATGATGATGATGATGATGATGATGATGATTGCAGAGTTACTGAAATATATCCAACATCTCCACACCTTATTTTGACAGAAACAGTTCTGTCCGATCTTCTTACTGTAATGAATTGTGTTGGTGTTTGAATTAATGCCATGTTGAGTAATGTTCTTCACTGAGATACCGACATTGTGTAACGCTTGTGTCCACAGACAGCCTGTGTATGAAGTGAGTGAGAGTCTTCCCGCCCTCACTACACTCGACAGGACGTCCTGGGGCCAAAATCAGGAAGGAACACTTTTCCCAAGGAGTGAACAAAGAATCTCTTTGACATTCTAGGAAGGAGCCATTATATTTGTGAGTATTTACACAGTCACTTGTGGCATGTGCTTGTCGTGAAGAGGCGTAATTAAAGGGATAGTGGTCAGGCTCATTGAACTTGATTTTTACTTGTCATCTCTTCCTAAGTCTGTAGATCGATGCTCATGCTGTTGATCACTGGATTGTTTGGTCCAGACAGGATTATTCACCGACCACCGCCATATAGCTGGAATGTTGCTGGAGTGAGGCGTGAAAACCAAACTCACTCGCATGTGATGATGGATCATATATTGCTTGAGTATGGTGTCAGCCAACATTGGCTCATTAACAGTAAGATTGAGGATATATGCTTTTGATTACATCCTTGTACATACTGCCATTAATTAGTCCAAATGCTATCTCCCACAAATCACAATTCATATCACTTGACATCTCAAGTAGTGTTGGTAAAGGGAGAGAACTCTGAATCTCTATTAGCAGCAAGAGACAGTAGGTGCAAAATGAAGCCTCCTACTGGATCTAGCTATAAATAACACGCACAGAAGAGCTTCTTGATGCTGGGTGTCAATAAGCTGTAGAATGACTCATTAATAGAGAAAAGATTTATCTAGACCTCATCAAGGGGCTATTAATGAATAGGAGGTTACCCGGTTTGGCATACTTTTAGGTGTAACTCAGTGGATTTACAAATGTTTAAAAGGAGGAATTGCACTGCACTTATAGACTTCACATTACTATTGATGAAGCTTTATTGAGCGGACATGTGTATAACTGATAACACCAATAGAGGAGAGTTCTTACACTTTACTGTTTACTTCTCTCATTAATAAGACCGCCTCGTGGTGTAGTGGTTAGTAGCGTCCAGCCCTCCGAGAGCTTGAAGGTCGATTTCCCATCCCCACTGGCCATACCAAAGCGATTTTTAAAAATATGTACTTGTTGAATCCCTGCCTGGCGCTCAGCATTAATAAGGGATACAACAAGGACTGGTCGGTCTCGATATAATAATGTGTCAGAGTGGGGTATCTATGCTTCACCGCGGTAATGGTATCTCAGTTAGGCTAGCACTATAAAACCAGCTAAGTCATTAGGTAAGACGCTGTTTGATACGCACATACACTCCTTCATGCACGTCGTCATATGAGCGAAATATTCTCTAGCAATAGCTGCTAATCCCAAATTCTCACTTCACTTCACTTCATTACTAATACTACTACAAGTAATGAGGGTACTTTGATACTGCAACAATACTCTATATCCACAATAGGGGCATGCCTCCGAACGTGCACAAATGTTTAAAACAAACACATCAAAAAGTCACATGAATCAGTATGGTAGAAGATAGTAGATTACTAAGCCGCAACACACTTTCACATTTAATTTATGATGATGTGCACACCCAATTTTAGTTATTATTTTGAGCTTTGTATTATATTGAAACAGACACTGTGGAAATAACGTCCTCATGGTGTAATACAGCTTGTATAATGTAACTCTTATTGTGTGTGTTTCAGTTGAATTTTGACACTCACAGCTTCAAGGACTACTCTACCTCGGGCCAAGTACCTGTTGCAACGGAGATGGCAAGTCCATCTGGTTCGACAAGTCCATGAATCTCATCTTCTTCAGCGATGGACGCTTTGGCATGAACAATGAACACACATTCGGCTGATGCCCCGGTCGTTGCTCATGTGCAGGAATTCAATATGCTCAGACGTAGCATGTTGTGAATTGTCTTATAATTTCTCATTTTGTCAAATACTGAAGTGTAAACGTAATGACTTAAGGGTCAAGTTCACTCTCAAGGTCATGCACTCCAAATATTTTATTATAATCAAGATAGCTTAAGAGGTATTCTCTGTATTAAGATTAAGGTTGATTTGATCAAATTTAGAGGGTTGCTGACCTTGTGGGAAGGTCAAGGTCATAGAATGGTAGTTCTGATTCTTGTGTCAAAATGTAAGGTGTCACGTGAGACTTCATTAGTGCAAATGTACCTGTGTAAACTGTTCAGCCAGCTGAGAAATAGTACTTGACATGTGAGGTGGACCTTTTGCAGTATAGGTTGTTCAGGGGAGACTCAGCAATCAGCAATATTTCTTTTCCAAAACAACTTCTGGTTTGCCAGGTTTCTGGATGTCTGGGGTCGGATAAGCGATTTATAATATAAATAACTGGATTGACTGGTTGTGACTTGATTATATATATATACAGACAGTTGTCATAAAGCGGAGATGTTTCAGCTAAATGTATGTGCATTGTATCTGTCAGAGTCATCGGCCTCCACAACACGGACGGCTATGCTAACCCAGTACCCTGTGAACAGACAGAGAATGTGAAGCCAGTCGCGACTCATCTGGAGCGCTGACACAAATTCTAGGGTGAGCATCAACGCAATGGAGGCTCACCAACAGGTACTTCCGTCGCTTCACTATGTCTAGACTAATATCCGACCGCCTCCGGGTGTAGTGGTTAGAGCGTCCGCCCGAGAGAGCGGAAGGTCGGAGTTCGATCCCGACCGCGTCATACCAAAAAGGCGTTAAAATATGGTACTTTGTTGGTCCCTGCCTGGCACGGCATTAATGGGTACAACAAGGACTGGTCGGGCTCGAGTCAGTATAATGTGTCTGAGTGGGTTATTCCTGCTTCACCGCGCTTACATGGTATCTCAGTGGGCTAGCAATATAAAACCAGCTTAAGTCTGGGCTAGTACAAGCAGCCGCACATACACATACACTTTCGCATACACGCCATATGAGCCGAAATATTCTCGCTAGCGCGACGTTAAACCCAATTTCACCTCACCTCACCTAGACTAATATCTGCTATGCAGAGTGAGTGAGTGAGTTAGTTTTATGCTGCTTTTAGCAGTATTCCAACACTATCTTGGCAGGTTACACCAGAAATGGGCTTCACACATTGTGGGTAACCCAACCCAGGTGTTTGGCATGATGAGCGAACACTTTAACCACTAGGCTACCCCACTGCCCCTGCTATGCAGAGAATGCAATTGATGTGATGCAGATTTTATCATATACAATACAGAAAGAGATGTGGAAGGGGAGCTGTCTTTGCCTACATAATGATGCTGTTGACACTAGATTTTGCTGATGTTCAATGTGGAAATCATTTTTGACTTAGGGACCATTCCTTTTAATTAGTGAGTGAGTGAGTTTAGTTTTACGCCGCGACTCAGCAATATTCCAGCTATATGGCGGGTCTGTAAATAATCGAAGTCTGACCAGACAATCCAGTGATCAACAGCATGAGCATCGATCTGCTAATTGGGAACCGGCGACATGTGTCAACCAAGTCAGCGAGCCTGACCACCCGATCCCGTTAGTCGCCTTTTACGACAAGCATAGTCGCCTTTTATGACAAGAATGGGTTGCTGAAGACCTATTCTACCCTCGATCTTCACGGAACGTCGCGTGCTTGAGAATATTTCGCTCATATGACGACGTGCATGCGCAGTGTATGTGTACGCGGCTGCTTGTACTAGCCCAGACTGAAGCTGGTTTTATAGTGCTAGCCCACTGAGATACCATATCGCCACTCAGACACATTAGTGAAGCATGAATACCCCCACTCCAGACACATTATACTGACTCGAAGATCCGGGTAGACCAGTCCTTGTTGCATATAAAAGGCGCCATTAATGCCGTAAGAGTGCCAGGCAGGTGGTCAGTTTCCTTGACAAGTACCACATATATTTCCCAATTAGCGCGCGACGATGCTCATGCTGTTTTTTGGATTGACGGTCCGGACTCGGGATTTACAGAACGCCGCTATAGTTGACCTTCCTGAGTGCGGCGAAACTAAACTTCCAGGCCATATTTTAACTTTTGGCATACGCCAGCCAGATCCACTACACTTCCACTCGAGGCGGTCTCTTGTCGTCAGGCGGTCTATTAAAAGAGACAGAAACTGCTACAACTTGTTTTTATTTCATGTAAACAATACATTTATTTGGGAAATGACTTCAAATGAGACGATTCAAGGAGAAAAGTTACTATTGCAATAGTTGGTCACAATAGACTATCGCTATCGCAATAGTTGTGTCCACCCTCAATAGTCACCCCTAACAGAGGTGTGGAAGTCCATCAGTCAGCCACATGGTCACTTGTACACACTGTAGGTAACATGTCCTTGTTGCAGAACTGTGAAAACCTGGAGATTAGGGTGTCCGACTTCCAGCACTTCGGCAAGAGTTTCATCAAGAAGTGTAAGGTAGGTAATGGACAGACTAACACAACTTTATGTAGAATTATAAACCTCCAGTGGCGTCACTCATTGTCTCAGCCAGGTTATCCTTTTCACTGAGTAAACCTCTACAGGCAGTTTTGTGGGCATTTCTGAAAAATCCCAGGGATTTTCTACAGAATTGCCTGCATCCTGTTTTTTTTTTACAGAATTGCCGTCAGCCCCCGGATTTTCTGAGGAATAGCCCTTGACTTTGAAATATTTTACTTGTTTTGAAGATTGCTATAACCTTTTTACGATCGAAAAATATCACAATATTAAGAACTTCCAATATATTGTGCCGATGCATGGTATATCTTCAGTTGGTTCGATAAATTGGATCAAAACCTCCTCCACGGTTTTGATCCTTCACATGTAACATAGTCCATAGGTATACTTTGACAGAGCTTGATGAATGCAGAAAATGATTGCCCTGCTCAAATAACTGCAATGACATATTTTTATCCTGATATATATTGGAGTATACTGTTTGGTTATCTACACACAGACATGTAACACGTACATTTTCTAAGCCACTGCTAAGGTTAAAACCCGTTGTGCAAGCCCCTCAAAATAGCCACTGATAACTGTATGGAGACAAATATAACAATTGCTCTCTAATAACTCAGATTTACATGTCTCATTTAAAAAACATTGCATGGGATGAGTGGTTTATAATTTGGAAGATGAACAAGTTTGTGTTGTCTGCAGGTGAGCCCTGATGCCTTTCTCCAGATGGCACTCCAAGTGACATACTTCAAGAACGCTTGGCAAGTTTGCTCTCACATAACGAGGCATCCATGACAAGACTCTACCTGGCGGGCCGAACTGAAACTGTGCGATCTCTCACCACGTGATTCTGTGGACTTTGTCAAGTAGGTGGTTGGGTTGTATATGGACCTACCTTTGTTAAATATGCTTGAGTTTAGGGTGATTGGATTCTTAAGAAGAAAAAGAATGAAATGGTTTTCTTGGTTAATTTATCTCATTCATTTGACTGTGTTGACAAAATTAAGTTAATTGTTCTAAATTATGCATTAATCTTTGCAAGAAAATTAAGAACACCATACATTGCTTGTTTGATCGGCATTCTATAAGCTTGTGAGGCATACAACTTTATGGATGACAACTTCTTGTTTATTGCATAGAGCCATGTTTCAGTGTAGATCCTTACACCATTATCAACTTTTAGCTTGATAACTCTTGTCTAACTAATAGCTTGATAATGGTGTGAGAATCTACACTGACAAGTCATGCTATGCAATAAACAAGAAGTTGTCCTCCATTACGTTGTATTACCAAATGTTGATGTTTCTTAGGTTGCTATAGTTATATGTGAAACTTTGTTTGTGTGAACATTCTCAGTTTTAATAAGTCAAGAACCCGAGAAGATCCGGGTTAGAATTGGTCTTCAGTAACCCATGCTTGTCGAAAGAGGTGACTAACGGGATCGGGTGGTCAGGCTCACTGACTTGGTTGACACATGTCATCATATTCCAATTGCGTAGATTGATGCTGCTGTTGATCACTGGATTGTCTGGTCCAGACTTGATTATTTACAGACCGCTGCCATATAGCTGGAATATTGCTGAGTGCGGCGTTAAGCAACAAACCAAACCAAATAATAAGTCAAGAAAGTCGTAAAAATATTGGTATATGTTAGCCTGTTTGCTCCAGTGTGGTCAGGTTTATAGTTTGAATCATAGGAGCCTAACTTCTATGATATTTGAAACAATTCCTTCATCAATTGCACTACCATGTTTTCATCAGAGCATTTCTGGACAAGAATGTTCCCAGAGAGGAGAAGATCCGACTGATGCTGCGAGCATGTCATCATCATCAGATCATGTACAAGGATGCCATGAATGGACTGGGTATTGACAGACATCTGTTTGCCCTGTATGTCGCCAGTCGGGGACTTGGACATGTGAGTACTGGGGATTGGGCATATGAGTACTGGGGATTGGGTGGTGAGTACTGGGGTTGGGTGGTGAGTACTGGGGTTGGGTATGTGAGTACTGGAGATTGGGTATATGAGTACCTGGGGTTGGTGAGTACTGGGGTGAGGGTAGTACTGGGGATTGGGTATGTGAGTACCTGGGGTTGGGTGAGTACTGGGATTGGAGTACCTGGGGTTGGGTATGTGAGTACCTGGGATTGGATACTGGGGTTGGGTGGTGAGTACTGGGATTGGGTGTGAGTACTGGGTACTGGGATTGCGATGTGAGTACTGGGATTTGGTATGTGAGTACTGGGGATTGGGTGTGTGAGTACTGGGTTGGGAGGAGTACATGTGATGTGGGGAGGCCTTGGGGGTTGGTATGTGAGAGTACTGGGATTGGATATGGGAGTACTGGGATCTGATATATGGGGTTGGTACTGGGGGTTGGGTATGTGATGTACCTGGGATTGGGTATATATGTTGGGTATGTGAGTACCTGGGATTGGATATGTGAGTACTGGGGATTGGGTACTGGGTGGGTAGTACTGGGGATTGGGTATGTGAGTATGGGTGGGATTGTGGGGTATGTGAGTACTGGGATTGGAGTATGTGTGAGTACTGGGGGATTGGGTATGTGAGTACTGGGGATTGGACATGTGAGTACTGGGATTGGACATGTGGAGTACTTCCTAGGGATTGGACATGTGAGTACTGGGATTGGATATGGGAGTACTGGGGATTGGGTATGTGAGTACTGGGGATTGGATATGTGAGTACTGGGGATTGGGTATGTGAGTACTGGGGATTGGGTATGTGGGTACTGGGGATTGGACATGTGAGTACTGGGGATTGGACATGTGAGTACTGGGGATTGGGTATGTGAGTACTGGGGATTGGGTATGTGAGTACTGGGGAATGAGTATGTGAGTACTGGGGAATGAGTATGTGAGTACTGGGGAATGGGTATGTGAGTACCTACTAATTGGGTATGTTTTGTGTGTTGTTTAACGCTGGTACATTAGGCATGGAGTTGATAATCTGGAGTCTCTTGAATCATAGCCAACTAGTGATGTCTCTAGAAAATGAAGCAGGGAAGACTCTGAACACACACTGCCACAGATGCATGTAACATGTGATTATCATCAGTGTAGCAGAGTGGTATCAGCGCTGGTACTTTGAACTAGTCTAGACATGCTACGAAGATTTCCTGACAGTTACTCTGTATTAGATTTAAAAGTAAATGAAGGAAGAAGACTATCCATTGATAGAAATTATAGATCATGTCCATTTTGTAAAAAAGGCATTGAAGACGAATTACATTTTCTTGTTGAATGTCCAGCCTATGATAAAATCCGTTCTGATTATCTCCGTAACTGTATTACAATCAGAAGTAATAATGCAGCATTTTACAAAATGGTTTCCTCATGCGATGTCTCCATTTTAAAAAGATTATCACTGTATATCCATCATGCTATTATGTTAAGAAAACAATTGTTATCCTCCTAAATAAGAACCTTCTTTGTAACCGTTGTATATGGGCCGGTGGCCTTACATACAAATAAACATATTTTGACTTTGACTTTGACTTTGTTCCAGGATTGTGAGTTCCTGAAGAAGGCGCTGAGCATCCCCTGGACTCTCTCCACCAGCCAGCAGCCCCAGCAGCAGATCTTCTGGGCACCAGACTGTAGTCTGCCACAGTATTTTGATAAGGTGAGCTATGTCTATCACAGCTCATATTTTGGATACCAGACTGTAGTCTGCCACAGTATTTTGATAAGGTGAGCTATGTCTATCACAGCTCATATTTTGGATACCAGACTGTAGTCCACAGTATTTTGATAAGGTGAGCTATGTCTATCACTGCTCATATTTTGGATACCAGACTGTAGTCTGCCACAGTATTTGATAAGGTGAGCTATGTCTATCACAGCTCATATTTTGGATACCAGACTGTAGTCTGCCCTCAGTATTTTGATAAGGTGAGCTATGTCAATCACAGCTCATATTTTGGATACCAGACTGTTGTCTTCCACATTATTTTGTTAGGATGAGCTATATCTATCTATAACCTGTAATATTTAGGAACCATTGAAGATCCGAAATTGATCTTCAGTAACCCATGCTTGTGGTGAAGAGGTGACTAACGGGATCAGGTGGTCAGGCTTGCTGACTTGGTTGACAGCAATATTCCAGCTATATGGCAGCGGACTGTAAATGATTCAGTCTGGACCAGACAATCCAGTGATCAACACCATGAGCATCAGTGTACGCATTTGGGATACGATGACATGTCAATCAAGTCAGCGAGCGAGCCTGACCACACGATCCCGTTAGTCACCTCTTACGACAAGCATGGGTTACTGAAGACCAATTCTAACCCGGATCTTCACGGGTATTTGAGTACACAGAGATGAGTACACTCCAGAAATGTACTCCTCACATATTGTGTCCGTCCCCCTGATGTGTACATCTCCTAACTCTCTCTTTCACTCGGTGGCAGGTCTCCCCAGGGGGAGGGTTTGGCCCTGTGTCGGACGACGGCTACGGTGTTTCTTACATGATACCCGGAGAAAACCGATTCTTCTTCCACGTCTCCTCCAAGAGGAATTCCGGTAACACTGAAGCAAGGAAGTTCACAGACCAATTGTTCCAGACATTGCTGGAAATCCAGGAACTCTTTGATGCCCAACCAAAATCATAATGATAGAGAACGTAGACCAAGAATAGAATGAATGGGTTGTCAAGTTAGTAGAATATGAATATGTGAAGTTAGTTCTGAGACTTTAACTCAGACTGGGTATTGTTTGATGCAATGTATTTGATATGCACTGAATGAAGTGGTCGTTTTGTTGTGAAAGAAAGCAAGCTTTATGATTTAGGCTCTCACCATAGAACCTTTTGGAAAATGAAGTGAAGTATTAAGGTTTGCTTGTTAAGTCAGCTGTGTCATAGGAATCACTGATGTTGGTAGATATTTGGAGCACCAATGGTTTCACATGCTTCAGAGTATTCTTGGCTTCATCACAATCCAATATAATCTCAGTCAAAATCAGACTTTTACTCTGATACAATTCCTGTCTGCATGAAGATCAGATGACCCTTCTCAAGGTCTCAGCAGGTTAATTTTCTGATCACCATTGCGGCTTCATTGTTCTTGGTAAAAGTCAAACCAGTTCGTTTGATTTCTGTATCTCAAAACTGCAGTTAAATGGAAAGTTCTGAATGTAAATAATAAAAGCTGTCTCATTATTATTGTGGATATTTCATCACCCTTTCGATTCTAAGCACCATGTTATCTTCTTTAAAGGTGTTCTGTGGTAGATATGAGTGTCCTGTTTTGGGTTTCTTGAATTAAAATCAAATTTTTCAAATTGAGCTTGAAAATATTTTTGAATATTTTTGAAAACTGTCATTGGCTCAAGAACCCACACATTCTTTGCAAATTGTAAGTTCCAAGTGCAATATGTTTGTGACCTATGGAGTGGTATACCAGATCTTCATTCTAAGGTGTAATGTAACAAAGTAACAGAACTGATTTTGTTGTGATTAACAAAATACCAGCAAACCATGGACTAGAGGTACTTGGATCATTGTGTTGTGCATTGTTTGATTTATGATGTGAAAGATGGGTGTTTTATGAAATTGAGTTTGGAATCTTTCATGATATGCTCTATTGATTACTGAAGCATTTTTAAACTTGCATTTTTCTTTTACATAGTCCCAAGATACGAAACTTACATACTTGCAGTATTGATAGAGTTTTAGACGACTTAGCAGTTTTAGATACTCTTTGTAGCGGTCCTTTCTTCTTACAACAAACAATTTTAGTTAAGTAGAGCCCAAAAGACAAACTTTATTTTATCATTTTCATTTTAGAAAACAATTAGCGGTTTTCTTTCTTTTGCACATGCTGGTGATGCTGATGTGGAGAACTACTCGAATTACCGAGTATTTCACTGTTCCCTGTCCCAAAGTAATGTTGCAGAGCTTAGAAAGTTGGAAACATATTTTAACTTTAAAGGCCAGATCATTTTAACTGCTGATGTATTTTAACCCCTGAATTACCTTAAAGTAATTAGTTGAAAAAGTACTTGTTGAGATTAACACGCATCTATTTGAAAAACATGCAAGTGTTTTTTCTGGTGGAGAGAGGTACCATTGGAATATACTTAGTTTTACATTAATACATCATTGCAAAGGGGGAGTGGGAGGGGAGGGGTAGCCTAGTGGTTAAAGCATTTGCTGTCACACCAAAGACCAAGGTTTGATTTCCCATTTCTGGGTGTCAATGTTTGAAGTGCATTTCTGGTCTCCCCTAAAAGTGGCGAACCTGAACTCCTCACTCACTCACTCACTCACTCATTGTAAAGGGGAGGAGTGGTGGTGTGGTGAGTGACTGTAAAACTATTCATTGATGTTTTGGGCTCTTCATGTACGTTCTAGTGTCTGCATTGTGCTTTTTATAAAGGGCCATCTTGCCCTGGGTGGTCCAAATGTCTTTACTCTAATGTTTTAAGAAAGACCACCATTATACTCGTGGGTTGTTGAACAAGGCCTAGAACTAGTCAGTAAATGAAATTACCTCATCATTTGTTTATATGTTACCATGGCAACTAGTACCCTACAAACATGGATGGGGTTCCATGACAACACCACCACCACAAGTTATTTCTTATACTGATATTTTATGTTTATAAACATAAATTATTATTTTGAACTCTATTTGATTTACTTTATCACTGAAATGCAACTATTATTTTTAATTTTATTAAATTTACTTTAAAATCTTGAATGCAGATTATATTTTTAATTTTCTGAAATTACGTTTATTTATACATCATTTTCATCACTATATGGCTGTAAAATTGCCAATGCAATGTAAAATTTTAACTCATTCATTTTATCATTTAACTACTATGGTAACAGAGTGTTTGATTATTTCATCAAGAAATTAATAGTATGTTGTTCGGGTAATAGTTTCTATTCACATTTATGTCGTGCTGTTTACTTAATGCTGAATGTAAGGCTGGTTACTTTTCATGCTCACATACCTAAATGATTGCCTTTCTGATATTGTAGAAAGTTTGAGCACATTCAGTTTATTCCTAATGTGTCATATTCATAAGACAACCTTTTAGCTGCCTCTTCATACTTGGCTGAAAGAAATTTAGTGATACATTTCTAAGGGTTCTTGTAATCTCAAATTACCTGCCCTTGATTTTCATTTATGGATTTATTGGCTTTGCTCCTAGATTGAGTGTACAATTCAGAGTGCGAGTTACGAACAAAAAGTGTTGGCTGGCAATAGAAAACACATGGGGGATAGTCTCCTTGATTAGCATTGATTTTATGAGAAATTCAAAGTTGAAAAACTTACTGAAACAAAGAAGGAAGTCCTCCAAAATCTTTTGGATTGAAAGGATGTCTTCATGTCCAGTTTTCTTGAGGTAACTTTGGTTTTGGGGCCATTCAATCCTGCCTTACCTTTTGCCTTTTCCTCATGTCGACATTTGAATGTGTTTTTTTAAATGTTCAGAGGTACATATAAGCTGCGTATCTGCGTAAATTACGCAAATATTTATGTGAAAACTCAATTCCTATTAAGTCTATTAAGCACAATAAATGTGATCTACATGCATACACACAAAAAAGTCGAATTGTAGCATGGGTACCGGTGGCTCGATAAAATAACTTAGGTATATTGAGAGGTTGTATTTCAGGACATGAACTTGACAACTTGCAGTCTTTCTTATCGTTTCTCATATTACAGATCAAATACAAATAACAAACACTAACATTTAAACTTTATTATATTTTATAAATTAATGGAAAATGGCAAAATACTGAGTTTGAGTGAGGTGAGTACAATTTATTTGGTTACTCAAAGGAAAATTAGGATATCCAGTTGAGATGAACAGAAGCGAGTACAAAACTCAATGACCCCAAAAGTTATCTGTAGCTCTGAAGGTTAATGAAAATCAATCGCAGATATTTTGAGATTGCAAGCAACGGGAAGGGATTCAGGGATAAATTCAGTTTTACCAAAATGTGACAGCGGAGATGGGCCACATGCTAACATTCAGTAACCCCATCAAAATGATTAAATTCAAGTTAGGCCAGACCAATTTTATTTCTTGTTTTACAGATTTTTGCCCTCTGAAAACCTAAAGGCAGGAGGGGAAAAATTAAAAAGTCACCAGTCAGAGCAAAAACCCACATGAGTTTTTCAAAGGCATTGTTTTTCAAGTTCACACTCGCTGAGGTGCTCGAAGCACTGATTTCGAACACAAATATTGTTAGATAATTCAGTTTAAAGTATTTGAGAACAGATACTTGTGTTTTAGTGTCCAACAAACTGCCTTGCATAGTGGAAGTCTCGCTCCGCTATATCTAACATTAGGATTATATTTTTCGAGCAGGGAAAATTTGCTTTTTTTGTCTTATTCTTGAAAATATACTACTGGCGGATCGTAAAACAAGAAATAAAATTGGTGTGGCCTTACTAATATTTGAATGCAGAATATTATAATAACAGAAAATGCCTGTTTATTATGAGGTGTATTCATGCGTCTACTTGTGCAAAATTACAGTGATGATCTTTAAGGCTGAACAATATCATTCCGGACACATCGCACAAGTTTCAATATTTGCAACACACAACATTTACAATGCAAAAAAACATTACCAGGTGTTTAAATGTTTCAGATTTATTTATAGGATTGTTTAGTGTGAAGCTTGCCAAACGTTGATAGTGCTTTCCTGTCAACAAATGTTGTTTGTTTGAGAACCTGGTCTTAATTCAAACTTGCACGCTTGTACCTTTTGTATGTACCGGAACAAGAGTTGGTACATCTTTTGTATGTACTGGTACAAGAGTTGGTACATCTTTTGTATGTACTGGTACAAGAGTTGGTACACACGTATTTATGTTTTGTTGTATTTGCTCACCATCGAAATGATGTATTCTATCCTGCTAATTTATTCCTTGTTTCGTTTGTGCCACCCATGATGCAAATAGTTTCCGGTAAGCATGATACATTAGAATAAAGGAGATATTTTATTATGCATAGTGTTGTTTATTGTTATGTTTTTTAGATTTAGGGTTGAGAGAAATATCTTTAGTACTCAGACTATGTGTGCATTCACCATTTTTGTTAGACAAAAAATGTATGTTATGTTCTGGTTGGGTTCATTCAATATGACAAATGGCGTTTCCTGTGGACGTGATCAGGGCTGAAAGTATTCAGTTATAATTTGAGAAAAGTATACTCTTGAATCTAAATGTTTCATTTTAATTTGAAATTAAAAATGAAAGGATTAGAGTCAGTGTGCGAAATAGTTTCCAAATTGTGCGAGCCAATCTAGCTAGCTATGCCACAAAATAATTCACTAGTCTGAAATTTGAATGTAGCCATGAGTTTCATCATTAATCTGCTGATATTATGAACATTTTTATCAGGCCATAATGTTGAATGATTTAAAAGTGTGTTATAACTTAACAAGATGGAGAGAGTGATATATTTACAAAATGATCCCATGAAAATTCACTAGCCAGTCGGGCCAGTGACTGTGGAGATTTACTGGCCCATCTGGTTTTTACTAGCCATGGGCTAGCGGGCCAGTGACTATTTCGCACACTGATTAGTGTGCATCCTTTTGAGATGGGCTAATTACGACAGAGCGCAGAAATATCCCACTGTCTTACATGTTTTGAATTAAGGTATGATTGATGGTACTTTTGACTTTGTAGAAATTTGTGAAATGTGTGAATCAAACATTCATCCATAATAAACAAATTGCAACAATAAGTAAACAAATATAATATGTGTATTTACGAATATACCTCAGTTTCATAAGTCCAGACATCAGCAGAGAAGGTTACAGTACAGTTACCTCAGTTTAAATACAGTTACCTCAAATATAAGAATGTTTTGCCTTTCCACTTTTGCAGTAAGAATACAACCTGTCATTACTAGTGGAATTAATTCCCTTTTTGTAAATATGTTTAGGCTATATCCTTGATGTGTTACTAAGTCAGTGACCCTATGGCATCATAGATTAGATTCACATGTGTTTTAAAGAACTCTCAAGACAGTTCAAGTTCAGCTCTGAAACAAACCCTACCATCAGAGCCTGATTTCTCGAAACAACCTGACGTTTTTACTCAAATTTCGAACTGAGTTTGACAATATGAAACAGCTGAATTTCTAACTTAACTGCATTTCTAAAATAAAACCCCCAAACAGATCAAGTAACCTATTTACTAAGCTTAAATTGTCTGCTATATTTGAGTTCAATATCGATTTTAGTTTATTCGGGGTAATGTATTTTCCTGCATTTTCTCAAATTTGAGTAAAAACTTTGAGTCAAAACTCAAACTTAAGTGTGTTTCCTGAAATCGGAGCCAGAAATCCTAATGGCAGTAATTCACTGGTAGAGAATGTCGTTAATGTAACCGTCATTCTTATGCAGTTTCCTTAGAAAATCACAATACAGATGTATTTCATGACTTGACAAAAAATGCTATATTTTGCATCTGAGGAGCCTTGCTTTTGTAAGTTGTGTAACTTATATTTTGGTTTTGTTGTCATGGAGATGGTGTATTTGAGATGTTGATTTTATGAACAAATCTGCCCTAATTTTGTTAAAGTTAATATCTGTGGTCATGGAAAATCTACTGTTTTGTCTTATTTTTGTTTTTTTATTTCAGGAGTTATTTTTAGAAATATATACCTCACATGAGATAATTTCTTTATAACCTTTGCTACCTATTTTGAAAATTTGCAATCTGTAAAGGATGAAAATACATAAATTTGGCTCTTTTAGTGTACAGATGAAGCTGGTTCTTTGATCCTATCTGAAGCATGATGTATCCTTATGTAACTGTACATCAAAGTTCGATTTTGAGACTGGCAGGGAACAGATTGGAGCCAAGTCTGTTTTTACACTGATCTCAGATCAACATTCCAAGACTGGACATTAATTTAAATAGCTACAATGGTTATAGTGTGTCCTTCAAGGTGTAAAATTGACCTTGACCTTGACCTCGACCTCATTGCACTCCACCATGCACCCTGATGAATATCTACCAACCTGTTTACAAGGTTAATATATTTTGGTGTTTTGCATGCCAATAGTAATGAAAGATGAAAGTACTCATTAGAATATATTAGGGAATCAATAAAATATATATGATTTGTGTGATTATCTCCCCTTTACCAAGGTCAAAAGACATACCCTTATGTGTTTATGGCCTTTGACATTGCATTTGAAATTTTGATTTCAGTGGACCTGTAGAGTAACAGGTTAAGTACTTCAAGTGAAAGTATTTCAAAGCCATTATCCAGGCCGGTTCATTGTCAAAATAATTGCCTAAGATACCAAAAATCAGAATGTAACTGGGCATAGCTTTACTGTGATCCGGTGTTAGAATTGATCTTCAGTAACCCATGCTTGTTGTATGAGGCGACTAACGGGATCGGGTGGTCAGACTTGCTGACTTGGTTGACACATGTCATCGTATCCCAATTGCGTAGATTGATGCTCATGCTGTTGATCACTGGATTGTCTGGTCCAGACTCGATTATTTACAGACTGCCGCCATACAGCTGGAATATTGCTGAGTGTGGCGTTAAACAACCAACCAACCAAGTTTCCTACAACACCAGCCTGCCTGTCAGAACTGGAATACTGTTCAAAGTTACGCTAAATCCAACGTATTGCAAGCTGCCTTGAAATATTGCTGCCTGTAACTCCAAAGAATCTTCACTCACTCTTACATAACTATGTTGTCAGACTATATTAGGTCAGACCAATTTTATTTCTTGTTTTATGGATTCTCCTGTTGTATTTTTCAAGAATAAGAAAAAAAATAAAAATTAATTTTCCATGCTCAAAAAATAAAATCCTAATGTTTTTTATTGGCCAAAGATGTAAACTTACAAGAAAAATGTTTTTTAGATGTTTCTTGCCCATATACTCTTCAGAAATTGCCAAGAGTATAATGAATATTTAGAAGGAATATTACCTTGACTGGTGATTTTTTAATATATTTTAGGTTTTCTGAGGACAAAAATCAGTAAAACAAGAAATATAATTGATCTGGCCTTACTGTGTGAAAGAACATTTGCATTACTGTATTATGCCTAACCTTGTATATAACAACATATGTTAGCAGTGTACAACTCATATGTTTTCTCCATTACAGTATTGCTGTGAGCTTTGTGTGCTTTAGTTTATCGTGTATGTAGTCTAATATGTGTAGGAGTTATCTACTGATGTAGATTCCTTTATGATATATTTGACCGGTGGACGTAAGAATGGGTACCATGTTTTATTGGTGTGTCTTGACCATTGGAGAATCATTAGATATTACCAATTAGACAATATAGTACTAAAAAGAAGTTCAGGGCCTCCTGGTTCTGTTATACTGCTATAGTTAATCTGTCAGCCACGGCACTATTAGGTGGGGCCTTGTCTTGTGTTGCAATTCACTGTACACAGTTGTGTCCCTTTAACATGCCAGGATGTCAGGATCATTGTGCCCTTACATTACTGTTACTGTCATATCTCTTATTGTAACTCCAGATATTATTGATACGGTGATATCTCTTATTGTAACTCCAGATATTGTTGATACGGTGCTGTGGAAATAGGAATTGATTAATCGATGTGGACCTGGACCCCGTTCCTCAAAGCGATCATAGCGATAAGATGATTGTAACTCCCATACTTTAACATAGACTTACGACTGTCGTAGCGCTGGGATGATCATAACTCCCATACTTTAACATAGACTTACGACTGTCGTAGGCTGGGATGATCATAACTCCCATACTTTAACATAGACTTACGACTGTCGTAGTGCTGATGATGATCGTAGCTCCCATACTTTAACATAGATTTACCGTGAGGTGAAATGGGGTTTAACTTTCGCACTTAAGAATATTTCGCTCATATGACGACGTGCATGTGTGTGCATGTGTGGCTTCTTGTACTAGCCCAGACTTAAGCTGGTTTTATAGTGCTAGCTCAGCACAGTTAAGCATGAATACCCCACTCAGACACATATTGAGTTCGAGCCGACCAGGCCTTGTTGTACCATACATAGACTTACGACTGTCGTAGCACTACGATCGCTTTGAGGAAAGGGGCCCAGTTGTGGCATCCGTAATATAGTGAACTTTGAGGGCCAAAAGCTTCTATCACTTCCACATGTTGTGGTGTTTTAGTTTTCTAATGATCCATGTCTTGTGATAATTTCACAGTCAAAACACAAATGTAATACATATATTACAAATTTAGCATCATGTATGCTCTGATGATGTGCTTTGTTCAGGCCAACGTTATAGAGGGGTATGTAGATAAGCACTGATGTTGAAAGCTTGTACAGTGGTGTTGTCTTAAACATGGGATGCACTGTACATGGCGATATATTGTATGCTACAGTCCGTTTGGCTCAAAAGCGGACTGATGAATTGCAATGTATATTGGGTACATAATCTCTCAGCACAGGTTAATGAATCGATAACTTTGTCGGCACTTGTGCACATGCTTCTCTAACACCTGGCTGTTCCTCTCTTTGCACCCTTCTCTCGTAACAATTAGTGTCAATATGCTAATGACAGTTTGCTAAAGAACTTTTTTTATTTTTAGGACATAAATTCTGCAAAAAAGCTCACCGAGTTGGTCTGATGTTTCGACTATGAAACATTGATAAGTATATGTTTATTAGTTTTCAAGTTAGATTGCAATTCATCCGTCCGCTTTTGAGCCAAACAGACATTGGTACTTATTGGTAAGGATGGGTAACTGATGCTGAAGCACCACTATATCCTGGAGACTTGTATCTTTAGCCGAGAGGTTTGAATCCTGTATCCTTCATGGTCTGTCAAAAACTTACCTACCTGTTGGCTTCACCAAAGTGCTTGAAGATAACGGCCTGTGTCACTTTGGGTTTCCAACATTAAACTGACAAACTGATATGAATTATATACTCTTATACTCTTCAGAGCAGCCTTAAACCAAACCAAAACTTAATGAGGACACAGGGGGTTGTCAAGTGATCAAAGAGTTTGCTGGTTGTACCAAAGGCGTTGGTACAGTTCACCTCATGGGTACAATGTGTTAAGCCGATATATGAGGTCCTGGCTGAGTTACTCTTAGATTATGGCGGAGAGGTGGCAAAATACTCATCTGATAGGGCACAGAATATGCATACAGTTTAAATGTGTATTTATAAGTTTTACATCAATTTTGTGTGGCATGGAAATATATATTCCTATCTGGAGGTTTTTACGTATTAATGAATCATTTGTGCACTTTTACAAATATCGATTCATGCCTGCCAGTGAATTGTTTACAACGGCTTTGTTTTTGTTATTTGAATCATGTCAGAATGACATCACACAAGAAACGATGTCATAGCTGACTGTCAGATTGTTCTAAAGGGGAGCTCAAAAGGTTAAAAAAATATTGGGTAGATTATCCGAAGTTTGTGCAAGAATTCATGTATTACATGCTCATTTGGGAAATACATAATTTCTGAATTATTTTGTAAAATCAGAATGATGTATATGCTGGTATAAAAACATTTGACCATCATTATATGTCACTTTTAATGCTGCAAGACTCACTTTAAGAGTTAGAAGGTCTATTTTGTTATATTCCTGTTTGTACCAAAATTATAACCACAGACAGTTTGGCTGCACTCAGAAAGGCTTTTAGTGGAATATTTTAGCTCTTTTTATGAAATGAATTTATCAGTTTTTATTTGTTAATTTCAAATATCTCAATGAATGAATGTGTCATGAAAGTGGTTCCCATTTTGAACGTGAAATGTATCCATTCCAAGAAATATTTAAAAAATTGAGCATTTGTTCATATGAGATACTAATTAACAGGGGAGTGGCCTAGTTGCTGAAAGCTTCTCACCTTCCTCAGCATGGGTAATCTGTGATAAGTCTTGGTGTTCTGTGACATGATGTTGATGGAATATTTCAGAAGTCTGCCAAACGGTCCATCAACTCACGGACTTTATCACTAACATTAGTTAGAACATGTTTATATCTCAGGTGATATCCCCGTCATTAGACGCTCCCAATGTCATGTGTAGTTCATCGTTTTTACACTGTAGTAGTTTATGGTTTCTGTACAATTTCATCCATACACATATTGCTGAATAAACTGTCTCATTATAGAGCCTGCCTGTTGTGATGTATTTGGTACACAATTTGCTGTAATAATACATAGTGAAGAAGTTTCGCGCATTCTCACAATTTCCACCGCAAATGTTGACATGTGATCGTCCAGCTACAACAAATATGACTTTTAGTGAAAGAAAATATGTACCGGTATACATATCAATTTTCTGTCAGCTACACTTCATTTCGAGGTATGTGTAGGCGTAATGTGATAGCGATTGCTGTGAATAATGTGGACCGAAGTTATAAATACGGAGGATAAACTTGCATAATTCAATATGGATTTTTTTACACAATTTCTGATGACTGATTGCGACGAAAAGATGAGCGAAGGTTGGGGTGTGTGTGTGTGTGACTTATCTACGGAACATACCATTTCGATACTGATTTTAAGGGTCAAGTTAGGACCATGGCTTATCTATGAGATCAGCATATTTGCGGTAACATACGGTACATTATTGATAGTGATATATACTCAACGAAATTAAAATGTTGACACACACATTACTGGTAATGATTCAAGGTGTGTGTGTGTGTGTGTGTGTGTGTGTGTGTGTGAGTGAGAGTGAGTGAGTGATATATTCCTTACAGTTTCTTGCCATACACATATGTCTGTTTGAACATAGTTTTGACTGATGTAAAACATTTGGTCATAATGCACAACAGGACCACTCATCAATATTGCAAAATAAAAAGTGTGCCAAGACTCGCAAATCGGCAACAGAGCATGTCATGGGTTGGCTCGATACTGGACAATCTGTAGAAGCAGCTGCAGGAGTGAGTGAATTTGGTTTTACGCTGCTTTTAGCAATATTCCAGCAATATCATGGCGGGGGACACCAGAAATGGGCTTCACACATTGTACCCATGTGGGGAATCGAACCCGGGTCTTCAGCATAACGAGCGAATGCTTTAACCACTAGGCTACCCCACAGCCCCTCAGCTGCACGAACCTGGTGTTGTAATCATCAGACAATGCACAGTCTCACAGCAAATGTTCTCAAGTAAAATGACCGATGACTTCATATTCGTGGAGAGCTTGTTTTCCTCTTAAGCAATGTCTGTGTGTTTGCATTCGCGTTTGTGCGTTTGTTGTGGTGATCACGTGACTGGCTGCATGTTATAGTTGTTTCTTGCCTTTGACTTTTCTAAAACTATCCACGTCAATCGCCAAGACCATGTTCAAACAGCCTCCAGGTCGATGGCACAAGAAATTAAAAAAGAATTACTTCTCTCACATATTGGACCAATAATGTGTATGTCAAGTTTCTAATTGTTTTGAGCAGTGTGCGAAATTTACACTGGTTCTGTGGTCCCTGACAAGTAAAAATTCATCAGGACCACTAAATGATATGTTTGCAGTGGTCCTGGTGGCCAGTGAATTTAAAAAAAAAATATTAAAAAAACCAGATGTCAAAAGTTTAAATGACCATAATAGTATTGATAGTCAAGTATATCTACGAATGTTATTTTGGCCAAGTGAAGTACAGAGGGGACCACTAATTATTGTCCACTCACTGGTCCTGCGGTTTAGTGGGAAATTTTGAAAGGTTTCTAACACTGAGAGTATATGACAAGTGTGGGTATTGAGGAGCATCCTCTTCCAGACATAAGTACAGAAAGAAAGCCAGTACAAAACAGACTATTTATCATTTTAGCAACACTGTAAGTTTCAGGATCTCCATTATGTCCAGGGAAAAAATCATTTGTGTGTGTAAAACTTGTATCAACCACATTGTTTCAAGTATTTTCTATAACAGGTAACATCTGAGAAATCGAACACTGGACCTCTCAAAATATCAAACATATTCTGAAATACCGATATTGAAGATACTTCCTAGTATGGATTACACTGATCTGACAAAATACAACAAATCAAACATCTTGGCAAGTTTTATTTAATAATATAAGTAGTTCTATGTACAATTCAAAGGTTTAAGAACCATCATGATCTATTTGTCCCAAATATCTCAACGGGTTCAGCAGATCATCAAAATCTGTAATGGGACTGACTGAGTTTAGTTTTACGCCGCTTTTAGCAATATTCCAGCTATATCACGGCAGGGGACACCAGAAATGCGCTTAACACATTGTGCCCATGTGGGGAATCGAACCCGGGTCTTCGGCGTGACGAGCCAACGCTTTAACCACTAGGCTACCCCAACGCCCCCTGTAATTGGAAAATATTTTAAAAAAATAAAAAATTCCAGAGTTCAAAAGTCTTATGAGCACATAGTCAAACAACACAACATCAACAACCTGTAAATCGTTAAAGCTCAAGATGTTGTGAAAATGAATATGTATCATTACTTTCTACTAAATGGCACCCAAAGAAAGGTCAGTTGAAGATTTATGCAAAATATGTGTTTTTTTAGTTTTGTTTGCTTGTTATTTAACAATATTCCAGCTATATGATGGCAGTCTGTAAATAACAGTCTGGACCAGACAATCCAGTGATCAGTATTGTGAACATCGATCTACACAACTAGGATACGTGTCAACCAAGTCAGTGAACCTGACCACCTGATTATGTTAGTCGCCTCTTTCAACAAGCAATAGAAGTATTGACTGGGTTCGCTGTCCATGAAAATACTACAAACCATTGGTTACGCCTGTCCAAAACATGGCATATGTTAAACAGGAAAGTTTGACGAGTGAACTAATAGTGACTTAAGGTTTAATAAGATACAGACATGCGTAGACCGACTGATCAAAATAAGGACCTTATAACGTGAACTATAAACATGATAAAACATCTTAACACTTTCTGAGAACTGGTGAGTGAGTGAGTGAGTGAGTGAGTGAGTGAGTTAGTTTTTCGCCGCACTCAGCAATATTCCAGCTATATGGCGGCAGAACTGCTAAGTAATGTCACAATTATGTTCTTCTTAAAATACAGAAACAAAAACACTGTATACCCTTGTAGAGTGAAATACATACACTATGAAATACATGAAATTCATCCATACACTTCATCTGTACTATTTTAAGATCTTAAAGATATCTGTCTATCTGTAAACCAAGAAATTTAAACGGAATGGCTTTTATTCAAAATTTCAAAACGTTTATCATTTCATACTCAGACGTAGGATATCATGAATGAAATATCATATTACATACTTAAACGTTGGAGCTCTCTGTTCATACAAACAGATCTGAACAAATCAGTATCCGACTTTCTCTGTGTTTTACTTACAGTATTTCAGCAGATGTACACAACATTCATAAAGACCTGTTTAGAGTTTATATCTTCCAAAGTTTTCTGCTTTCTACTATAAAACTTAAGGCATATCTGGATAGATTCCTTGTAGGTAAGCAAGTACCCCCATGTCCCAAATATTTCCTCCAAATAAATAGTAACACTTTAAAACATACAGAAAACAGAAAACAAATAACCAATTGACAATTTACAATCGAGTAACAATTCAACAAAATACGGGTGCACTGTCATACACCAAGTGTATGGTATCCATAAAAACTAGACAAAACATTTGGAGATCACGTCATGAGTGAGTATGGTTTTACATTGTTTTTAGGAATATTCCAACCTTATCCTGGAGTTGCAACACAACAAATAGACTTCACAAACTGTAATCATTTGTGGAATCGAACCAGGTCTTTCAACATGATCAACGAATGCTTCAACCTCTCGACTACTCCTCCACAGGCATGTCTAATGGTATGACAGTGAATTATTAAATCATACTGACTTTGATTTTCAGTATTCAGTTCAGTGAGCAAGTTTAGTTTTACGCCGCTTTTAGCAATATTCCAGCAATATCACGGCAGGGGACACCAGAAATGGGCTTCACACATTGTGCCCATGTAGGGAAACAAACCCGGGACTTCAGCGTGACGAGCGAACGCTTTAACCATTAGGCTACCCCACCGCCCCATATTCAGTTGAGTATTCAATTTAGTAGGGGTGTCACGATACACCAATCTCACGATACGATACGTATCATGATTTTAAGGTCACGATACGATACGTATCGCGATACATAATTTTCGCGCCTGTTCATAGCATTACCTTACCGGCAACGTACGTGCTCGCTGATTGGTCCATCAAAATACTCTAGCCAATCACAAAAGATGTTAGTTTCCAACCTATTTTTTAAGTAAAGCTAGCTACATCTATTTATCGGAGCGGTCTCGTATAATTTTACTATCAAGACTTTGAAGGAGATGGATATAGCATAAAAATTTGAATCGATAAAGTTTTAAAATAGGAATCGATACACGCAAGCATGTATCGCGTATGGTATCGTCAGTAAAAATGTATCGATGCATGGATACATTCGCGTATCGCGACACCCCTACAATTTAGTTCCGGTAATTGAAAACAGGGAATATGACACTAACAAGAGATGTTCACATGTGTGTTTTGGGACTTCATTGTGTTTACAGTAATAATAATTTCATCCATCTTTATACCCACTGAATGTCAGTCATTTCACCAGAACTACACATCAAAAATGGTTGTTCCTGGAACATTAACTCAAACTACTGTATTGAGACTGCTTTATTCAGCTTCTGAACCCCATTGTGTGTTTATGAAGCAAACTTTTAATGACGTGTGACTACATAATCGTTTCAAAACCTGTGTATAATTTCCACTCACAACTGACGATTTGTGTTCATGGAACACTTTACTTGCTTGCACTGAGAACATAGAAGCCATGGAGGCTGATTGAATGTTCCCCTGATAGAAGCACCTATCGAAAGTTTGCCAGATCTTCACAGAGAAACAGACTGGATATTGTGATAAGAAACATTACATACATTATGGTGTGCGCCAAACAATAACATGTACACTTCATTCCCTTTTAAAATGGATTCTGAAAATGGAACAGAAATTTAAATAAATTTTTCTCTTTTTAAAAGTCTGATTTGACATTATTGTAAATTAAAATATATCAACAAATGTCCATAAACAATTGCCTACAACTTGAAATGAACAATAAAAATATGATTTCAGCCAGTCAGGAGTTATTTTCTGATCAAAAACATGGAAAAGAGTTTAAATAAAGTCAATGAATTAATTTTAATTAAATTGACATCTTTGCAAAAGAAAAGGCAGGCAATACAAGTCGGACATGACAAACAATACATCTATCATGAATACATTTGGTTGGTTCTGTTCCGGAGATCATAGAAGGGCATTGTGGGAGATTCCATCTTGTTCATCCTGCCTGACGACACCACAGACGGGTTGGCTTGACTGCAACAGAAGGTCATGTAACTAATCAGTGACTGACGTTAACACGTTCATTGGCCACACACAACACAACTTGTTTTCCAGATCTCATTTTGTATTGTTTGTCCAAAATCATTGTCATTTCTGACAGTGAAAACTAATGGGGGATCAGAAAAGCATGGCAAGATAAAAAGGACATTACAAATATATAGGAAACATCACCTTAAATGTAAAGTTTGCAAAAACAAATTACTCGTAATTGCAGAGTTAAAAGTTTCAAGTGATTTTCTCAAAAATATCAATCACCTTGACCTAGTAAACATACACTTTGCTTCAGCATTGT